ACGGACGAAAGCTTAGCACCTTTTCACCGAAATCGAAGAAGATTGCCTCGGAAACAGCGTCAGCATGAATGTTCCAGTAAACCCAATCGGAAGCTGATCGAGAGGAATGGGCCGTCGTCTTCTGGTGGAACCGAGCTTCGAATCTCTTCACGCAACACATCCACTCGAAATGTCAGTAAGCCCAGCAACATCGATTCTTGCCACCGGTTGGCAAGGCTGACCTCTGTCGCCCAGCTCCAGTCCCATGGTGGCCTGGTCTGATTGGTTTCCGCCTAGCTTGGACTGTTTATTCTAACAAATACGTATACAACTTTTTATTACTTTTTAAAGACTGCATGTAAGGTTGTGATTACGACTGGAGCCGCCAGTTTGGCCAGACCGAGAGTCTGTAAGACTAGACGTTTGGCCGCCGGTCCGACATAAAGTCGGCCTTACCAACTCTCGACGCATGGAGACTGTACCAATTCTGTTGACAATCACACGAAAAACACAATCCATTAGGAAACAGGCATCAATGCTACTTTTGCCGGTAGTTATCGCTCAGTCCTGCCGACAAAACCCGACCTCATTGGTCGGATTAGTCGAAACCCGCCTCATCCACCCACTTCACGTCTCCTGCTCCCGTGCCACACTTTGTCCGAGTCTCCACTCCGCCTCGAGGAGGCACCTACCGGCGCCTTATTGGCGCTGGACGGGTGGAAAGCCCTTCCCCGTTCTGCAATAACCTCCCCATTTCATGGGTTCCCAAGCGGTGGGGCATCATCAAAGCCGTATTTCGTAGAGCCATTCATGCGAGGCCCACTCCTCTTGGCCTCGGACAGAATTGCTTCTTGAACTCTTGCCCGAGCGCATTCGCGTGATCAGCTTTGAAGTGGAGCAAAGCAGTTATGCATTTGTACACAAATTCTATAGGTTTTCTGGCAATTCGCCATGACAACAACTGTTATTTACATGCTAAACATCGTGTTTTTGTCTTTCCGGCAAAGTTGACAATCAATCGAGACAGTGATTTGATGGGCATGTTCATTTTAAGCGTTAAGTTCATCTGCAGCGCAACGAGGCGGCCTGTTTGATTGAAGAAGCACCGGTACCTCGGCTGTTTGCCGAGCTCTCAAATAGGACGCCTGAATTCGATAGCTCCGGTCGCCGGTTGGCATTGCGAAAGCAGTCTCAAGCCCGGTCTGTGCGCTCACCTCTCGGAAACGAGCACATGTGCCTCAAAATGCAGCTTTATTCGAGCCATCGTGTGATACGCTAGACGTCCGTTTGTAGCACCCACCTCGTGTGTCTGCACAGTTTCCGTGGGCGAGGCTTCCTCTTCCGCGAGAGAGCATGTTTTCCGGCTTTGGGCAAGACAGGACAACCGGACTGTATCCTGCAGCTGCCGAGCTGGACGGAAATGGCCTCTCAAAGCCGGCCGGTATGGGCGGGTTTTGTTGATAGTTTGCTCCGTCGCTGGGCTCTAAGCCAGTTTACTGCGCGCAGGCCAGACGGCCGTCAGTCACTGTTCGCGTGTTTTTGATAGTTTTATGGGGCCGACAACAGTTCCGGCTGTGCGGAACGGAAGAGCTGACTTGACTTTGCAGTAGAACTCGCTGAGTCTGGCCTCCTAAAAAGGCCGAAATACGCTCTCTGAAGCAGTTCTGCTGGGACTCTAACCAGGCAAGGACGAACTGGAAGACGAGCTTGTCACTGCAGAGCCATTCGAGACGCTCTTTTTTGCGTCATCCAACAAGAGAGACTCCGTAAAAAGACAGATGTTAATGGAGACAAGTTGGATTCGCCTTAAAAGTCATGTTTTCTGTATAGTCTGACATCGCTCGAGTCGAACTGGGGCTGATGAGGAAATGATGAGGTGAGGCAAAGAGGCTATGCGGCTTATGGAGCTACAATCTGAAGTTCATCCAGTTTCCATCTGGAGCCTTCTTTTTGCCTCCTTTTGGACCTATTTCGTTCAAGCTGATGAAGGTCTGGTAGTAGAATTTACCCACAATGCTATGAGTAGAGCATTTCACATAGCCCTGCTTTCCCAAAAGTTGTTCTCATTCAAAGTGGACTGGACGCAAGGGTATTCGTGGCAATGTTGCCGAGTGGCTAACGTGTCAAGCTCCCATTCTGCATTGTCACGGTTCGACTCCCGCTGGGGGTGTTGATAAGACCGACGCGAGGACGAAACTGCAGTCCACCGGTGCCGGGATGAGAAGAACTTTTGGGGAAGCAAGACAATGTGAAATTGAATTGAAACGTCAGCTCTACTCATACGATTGTGGGAGAATTCTACTAACAGTCGTTCATAAGCTTAAACGAAATCGAGCGAATACATTCCCTTTCTCTAGACTAGATTCCGGTTTCGGCATGGCTTCATCATTCAGTCGGCAACCACCAGCAGGATTCGAGCCATGGGTAGGCAGGTCAGGTGGCAAACAGCTTGCCTCTTCTGCCATATGACTAGTTTCA